GCAGAGTGCAGATGTTAAATGTTGTCAACTATATGCCCCCACCAACAGCCTAGCCGTTGCATTCTGCACTATCTTGCTGCTTCTGGACCAGGCTTGCAGGCAGCTCCACATACAACACACTGCAGAAATTCAGATTTGAGATTACCAGTGCATGGACTACAGTGGCCAAATTATCCTGATCTACATAGCAGTAGCATCTGCTACGTACTGTAGCAGATGAAGGTGGTAAAAAGGAGTCCTAGCCACAGAGGCCACTTGGGCCTTTAATACAAAGATGAATCCAGGAGTACCTCCAAGCTACAGACCTGATCTGTTAGAAGGTCCCCATTCAGAACAGGCAACTGGCCTAACTTCTGGATATGGGGATCACTGACCCACAGAGTCTCTATCTTCCCAGGATTCACTTGGTTTACTGATCCACCATTGCATCTGGGCACTGGTCCAGGGTTTGCACAACTTCTCCTGATTCAGATGTCATGGAGAAATAGAGCTGGGCATCATCAGCGGACTGATAGCATCACACTTCAAAATGATGTGTTGCAGGACATTCAGTGCATGTGTGAACAGGTGCACACGCATATATCCCATTCACCACATTTAAAGTATGCCAGTTTGTGTGAAGTGACTCTAATGTACATGTGTCTTGCCATAGCTTTCTGTTTACAGATGTAAAGGCCTGCTTTGCCACTCCTGGTTATTCCCGGTTGTGTTTTTCCATTCAAAACACATGTAATGTTCTTTGATCTCTTGTTTTAGAACCTTGATTACTCTATCACTTATTTATAGCTTCTAGTTTATGCTGGGTATTCTTATAACTTAAGTGAATGTATGTTATTAATTTCAGATACTCTTCTACTCATTAGTTACTGCGTTAGGAGAATAATGCTACATCCTCTCTGAGCTTTAGAAGGCTGTAGGAATTCATTTGGACTTGAAACTAAAACAATGACTGGGTTGAGACTTAATATAAAACCACAATTTGCACTAACTATAGATACAGTGAACTGCATAATGTGAACTTCCTGGTGTGCAACTGAAAAACCATGGTTTAGGGTGGGTTTTCTTCTTTTATTTTGTTTCCCTTCATCGTAAAAGGCAATCTCAGCATAAAATCAGCAATATTCTATAGGAGCCAGAGGTCACCTCCAACACCTGTGCCTTTACTCTGCCTTGCTCTCAACAAAGGGCTAAGCAGGAGTCCTTCATTAGAGCAAGGCATTCTGGGTGAGATGGCTGGGAGACTGCCTTTGTCACTGCAATTTTGCTTTAAATTCTAATGAAGTTTTAACAGAACTTCTAGCCACTGCAACAATATGGTGGTGGCACAGCCACTCTAACCCAGAATGCTTCACTCTTAAGAAAGGACTCCCCACATTGGCCCTTTCTCAAATGAGAGAGGCGAGGGGAAGAAGATAAGCTAGTGCCAAATGCCCTTACCCAAATAAGTCAGTGGGTGCAAGGATAAAGGAGTTGAGGCAAATGGATAGTGGCAGTAGGAAAGGAAAAGGGGGGGTGGAGGCAGCAGCAGCGGGAAAGGAGGAAGAGGAATATGAGTGTTGGTAGCAGGGAGGGGGAGAGAAAGAGTGGTGGGCAGTGGGAGCAGTCTGAGAATGGAACCTCATGCACCAATCCTGAGTTTCAGTTTCTGTTCTTTTTTGGCCCCAAATAAACCACAGTTTGTAAGCAAGCTTGGGTTCAGACATCAAAACAAACTATAGCTTATGAAACAAACCATGGTTTTGCATTATGTCTGAATTCAGTCCATCATTTGGGGCTAAAGCAGCTTGAATGCAAGGACTCTTGCCTGACTGTTTTGCTTAGCAAATAGTATGCAAGCCTTGCTGCACAAAGCTTCACTGATCTTGAAGTACAGATACACAAAAGACTATTGGGGCCTCTGTCTTTCAGCCACAGTGCTCACTATAAACACTACAGCTGTTGCTACACTTGTGATGGGTAATGCAATTCCATTGCACGGACGTATTTTTCTTTCAGTGTTCAGGCAAACCTTATTAAAAAGAGGAAAAAGCAGTATAAACAAAGTAGGGGGAAAAACATAATAGCATCATAACAACGGAAAGCTGAATCATCTCGTCTTCTAGTATTTGCCTGTGATTTTTCAAAGTGCTAAGTTTCTCTATTAAAAAGACATGGAGATCTTGTTTTACAGCATATTTGAAACACACAGAAAAATGCTACATGCTGAGCAATGAAATTGAATTTTTTTCCTCCTCTTGAAAGAGACCTATCCATTTCATTCACATCTGCCATATTTTTAAGTAAAAAAACAATAGGCATCTACAAAAATATTTTGGTAAAATCCATGGAAGTCCACAGGGGTCCTGAAACCCAGAGAGATATTTCTTCCAACCTTCATATGAATAACTCATCCATTGCCTCTGTTCTTATTTAGCTCAAATGAAATAATAGCAAGGAGATGCAGAAAACCTATTCTCTGTTCTTCTTTCCAATACTTTGCACTTGTTATAAGGCTATTAATAGAAGCAAAGCATTTTGTGTGTTAAATATTGCAGGGTCAGGACAGTTATCTGTTGGGACGTAAATATTTACAAAAGATTGTGCTGGAGAAGTTGTTCATTGATTTCATTTCCCCCCCTTTCTTCTTGCCCTGAAAAAGGATAGATTAAATTATTACCCTATGCAGCCATGGGAAAGCAATCAACACAAGAAATCATGGACAGTGATTTTGCCTTTACAATCGCAGTTTCATAAATAGCAATCTTTAAAACTGAGCGCCTATAACTTACATTGTTTAAGCCTTGAAGCAGAAGAGAAAACCAAAACATAGAGAGTAAGCATATGAGAGTTATTATTAAGTGGATATTATTGTTACTATTATTATTAAGATTTATTACCCACCCTTCGGCATAAAGTTTCCAGCGTGGTTTTCAGCAACGTAAAAACACAATGCTCAGATCAAGTGAAACAACCATGTGCAAGGCGTGTGTGTGTGTGTAGAATTTAGTGCAATCACTCCATCAGTGCAAGGATTTCTGCTTTTGCAAAGAACATTCTCCGCTTCTCCTCCTCTCATGTGCCCCCAAAATCTGTTCTAGGGGCTCCCCCAACCCTCTGCAGTAGTTTTTGGACTGGCACAGGGCACACAGGAGGGGAAGAGGTGGGGAAACACCACTTGCACAAGCAGAAATCCTTGCACTGCTAAGATACCCAGCATTGTGCCGTAATACATGCGATTATAAATTAAGAAAGCTTAGTAGATCAGCCAGTCTCCTACAGCAATGTTGGGATGCCATCTTGTTCTTATGTAGGTTTGCAAAGGGGCAGTTCCACTAGAGTTATCCTGTCTCTGATTTTCTCACTCCTCTTCTGCTCTTGGCTCTTGAGAAAGGTAAAGGTAAAGGACCCCTGGACGGTTAAGTCCAGTCAAAGGTGACAATGGGGTTGCGGCACTCATCTCGCTTTCAGGCCGAGGGAGCTGGTGTTTGTCCACAGACAGCTTTCTGGGTCATGTGGCCAACATGACTAAACCGCTTCTGGTGCAAGAGAACACCGGGATAGAAACCAGAGCACACGGAAACACTGTTTACCTTCCACAGTGGTACCTATTTATCTACTTGCACTGCCGTGCTTTCAAACTGCTAGGTTGGCAGGAGCTGGGACAGAGCAACAAGAGCTCACTCCATTGCAGGGATTTGAACTGCCAATGTTCAGATCAGCTAGCCCAAGAGGCTCGGTGGTTTAGATCATCAGCCTAATGATTTGGCTAGCCTTCATCCTATCAGAGGTGGATATTGGACAGCACAACCACTTTTGCTGTGCAGGGTGCCGTGCCTAGGGTGTGCCGCAGGGTGTCACAACTATGGTGTAGTGAAGTGAGCAGAATGAAAGGTGAGAGGCGGGGGTGGGTGGGCATGCCAAATTTTGGCCTCGCACAGGGCACTGCTAAAATATGAAAGACCAAAGTTTGCCCCTATCCTATTACAGTCGAACCTCCATGATTTCAGGAAGCAAATGAGGAAAACCTCTAAGTCCTTCTCAAACCCCACAGTTTGCTAATTTTAGAGGAGGTAGCTTAGGCCTCCGTCAGGCAGATTCTGCTCTGGAAAGCTAAACCATATTCCAAACATGCCTGTAAATTTCTAAAACATATTATCAATATTAACCAAGCAGTTTACTGCTCTGTAACCCAAGTCTCATGCTGACAGAACCTTCCTGTGGCTGGATTGCATGCAAGAGCAGGGCCTCTTTCACTTGGTGGCTCTTACTGAAACAGTGTCTTCCGTCAAAGCTTTTACAATAAGGTTGAACAGTCATGTAACCACCTTTTTCTTTCAGGAGAGAGGGGACTAAAGGAATCTGTTCCTGTCATATATTCATCAGTTTAATTGTTTATAACTATAGTTATTCAGCATGTAGAACTGATTAGGACAGAGAAATAGGTCCTCCTGAGGAATATAATCAAATACACATGTTCTGGGATTCAGGGGAAACAACTGCCCTCTGTAAATGACTTCCTAAACAAGAGAGGGAAACCTTTAGACAGTCCTATTAGACTGAAGACTGCCACAATATGCCTTACTTAGAGCTGATTGTCTTTCCTAGGACTTCAGGTGTCCAATCTGACTGGATAGCCTTCCTAAAGCACTTGTAAGGCCCTTATAAATAAAGACTTTCTAAGAATTTTAAGAGCTGGATGACTAATGTTTATTCCCATGGTGTAGTGAAGTTAGGAGAGCAACTGCCCCACAAGCCACTGCTGAGTATAATACAAAGACTTTGTTCTAAAATATGAAGTAGCAGCCATAGGGAAACTGAACAGGCCTTCCCATTGCCGCATGCTACACCTCATTTCTTTTTATAGGCTAACTCTCTTCAGCTGGCTATTACTCTCAGCTGTCTTTTAAAAAGACTTAAAGGGAAAACCCATACTATATCTTCATGCTGTCTAGCTCAGTATTGTCCATTCTGACTGTCATGGGGTGTCCAGGGTTTCAGACAGGTGATACTCCCAGCCTTACCTGATGACAGCAGGGATTAGAACCCCAGGACCTTCTGTGTGCTAGGCAGATATTCAACCACTGAGCTACAGTCAAGAAGGAATACTTAACCATGGAAGAACTAGATAAAACCTTGGTGGAGCCTGGTCAATTGTTCCAAAAGGCTAGCTGGCAATCTTATGCAAAGGTGATACAATAAGGGAGAACTTGAGACATATTTATTTTATTTTATTTTATTACTTTTCAAGTTTATACATTTCACTAATTTTACAATCATTTCGACATTTCAGAACTTGACTTCCTTCCCCCTTTTTCTGCGGTTCCTCAGATTTGTTTCTAATATTTTCTGCATATCCAAATTAACTTAATTTGTTCATTTATTCATCTTCTTTAAATATGTACTCTTATAAAATTGCAGGTTGGTAAAATAATCCTGCCAATGTTTTTATCTGTTTATAATGTATCTGTAAATATTCAATAAACCATTTCCATTTTTTTATAAAAGATTTGTTGTCTTGTTTCCTTATTTTTCTGCATATTCTGTAAGTTTTTGTATCCATTCTTGCTTTGCTGGGACTTCTGCTTCTTTCCATATTTGGGCAACTAACGTTCTTGCCACTATAGAAGCATACATGAATAACTTTCTACACATTTTAGGTAGTTCTGTCCCTATAATTCTCCAAAGAAAAGCTTCTGGTTTTTTTTTAACAAAGGTTATTTTAAACTTGGGACATCTTTAGGCAGTATATTGGGAGGTGACATATTTGTTCCAGATCTGAGGTTGTTACGCCTCCCACCTTCAAGAAAAATAATTTTTAATCACATAGACACCATCTACATATTCAAACCACTGACCAGTTTGTATTGTGTTTTCATGGGTGAGCATGCAAGATTCTTCTTATACTGTTTTAACTGCTATTTAAAAAAGGTTCCTTTCATGGCAAGCTGTTAAATGATGGTGGTAATCCCATTAAAAGTTTATAATTTTCACCCATTTCCCTGAAGATTCTCACACCACCTTCTTCGGGACTTGGAGACAGGGCACTTCTCCCACACCCTTTAGCAGCTATGAAGTGAAGCATTGTGTTTCCCAAACCGGATCATAATGGCTGCTCATATAGCCTGGATTTCATAAATTATCCATAGGCTCATCAATTTACTCCCACTGATTTATGATTTGAAAACAGAATGAGTCATTCTTGGCACTATACAGAAAGTGTGGAAAGTAAAAGCAATTGGAAAATGTATCTGGAGAACATCCTTCCAACAAACTACAGTTGGTTGGTTGCTCTGCAGAACTCAACATGGAGGGAACCTTAATCAGTGTTACTCTGCAAGCAGGCTTCTCTACTAAGGATACTCCTGACTCCTGCTTCCCACTCTCATGGCCAGTGAGCCACTGGAGGAGGATGTTCTCAAGATGCATCTGTGACTGCCCTTGTTGCGTGCCCTGGACTTGTCTGCTTCTCAAAACCATATTTCCCTCCCTGGGTTGTTTTTTTCTCCTCAGTGGGCAGTATGATCTCTGCAGGTACATTTCCGATCTCTGCAGTACATTTCAAGCACAATTCAAAGTGTTGGTGCTGACCTTTAAAGCCCTGGATGGTCTCGGACCAGTATACTGAAGGAGCGTCTCCACCCCCATCATTCAGTCTGGACACTGAAGTCCAGCTCTGAGGGCCTTCTGGTGGTTCCCTCACTGTGAGAAGTGAGGATACAGGGAACCAGGCAGAGGGCCTTCTTGGTAGTGGCACCCGCCCTGTGGAATGCCCTTCTATCAGATGTCAAAGAAATAAACAACTATCCGACTTTTAGAAGACATCTGAAGGCAGCCCTGTTTAGGGAAGTTTTTAACGTTTGATGTTTTATCGTGTTTTTAATATTCTTTTGGGAGCCACCCAGAGTGGCTGGGGAGACCCAGCCAGATAGGCGGGGCATAAATAAATTATTATTATTATTATTATTATTATTATTATTATTATTGGTACATCCTGCCCAGTGAGCTATGAGGGTGCTGTCATGTGTTGTACATCTTCTATTCCCTTCTTTTTGTATGTGTTATGCACTTGGGACTCTGTAGGTTGAGATGACATGACGGGGTTGCCTGGTAGATGGTGACATGTGACAGGGACTTCTCAGTAGCAGTGACTCATTTTGCGGAATGCCCTCCCTGGTGAGGTACATTTGTTTCCCTCATTATTAAATCTTACGAAGAATCTAAGAAAAATCCTGTTACTCAGCATTGGGTGGCCGAAAGACCAGTTCCTGGCAACTCTGAAATGCTTAGCCATGAAGGCAGCTGATTGTTTCTTATAAGTTTTAGATTGTATTTAGAAGTTTTAATTGTGTTCTGTTAATGGTCTGTTTGCCCTCTTGGGCTCCTTTGGGAGGAAAGGCAGGGTGTAAATTTAATAAATGTAAACATTTAATGAATATTTATTAAAATTATTATGATTATTTATAACAAGGAATCAGTGGCTGTGAACAGCATAGATCCTCTTCCTGGACCTGCAGTAACAGGTTCATGGTTGGTTCTGCCACTGGCTTTCATGGAGTGAGGGTGCTGTGACATCGTCATGCATTCTGTGTCATGCGGTCATGCGGTGAGTTCTCTGCTGTGGCTCCATTACTGAGAATTCATTGCGTCTCTGGGAGAATTCGTATCCTCCAACATTTCTCCAGTGAAAATAAGGACGTCCTATTCCATCAACACCATCACCACCACCACCATCATCGTTTTATTATTTATACCCTGCTCCATCTGACTGGATTGCCCCAGCCACTCTGGGTGGCTTCCAACATATATAAAAACATAATAAGCTATTAAACATTTTTTTAAAAAATCCCCTATGCAGGTCTGCCTTCAGATGTCTTCTAAAGGTTGTATAGTTACTTATCTCCTTGGCTCGGGGGCAGGGGGCATAGCTCCATATCCTTCAATATTTCTCTGACGAAAATAGTGACGTCCTGCTGCATACTTCAATATTTCTCCAGTGGAAACAGGGACAGATTGAGGAAAAGCAGGACACAAATCAGAAACTAGGATGGCTTCTGTAAATCTGGGACCAACCCTGGAAAAGAGCTATACTTGGAGGGCCTGGGAACCCTCAGTGGCATAATCTCTAGCTGGTGGGTGGGCTTTGGTGATGCTTCCAGAGGCACTGGAGAACACATCTGCTGGTTTTAATGCCTCTTCTGCATTTTCTGCTGGTGTGTTTTGCTCCTCCCAGGCTCCACATGCATCAAGTATGGCGGACAATATTCTGCTGGTGTGGTTGCAGTGGTGGCGGGGGTCTCCCCAGTCCTGGTGCAGTGTCAATTGAGGGCTGCTCTGTGAAGCATTACTGGACCGGTGAGGTGGAATCAATGACTGGGGAACCAGACTGGAATTATTAGTGGGAATGCTTAATTTTACTCTTTCTTTTGTTGTTGTTGAAAGAGTCCTTTGAAAAACCTCTGCAACAATCAGAGTTCTTTCTTCTTAGTCACTTGTCAGCATTGTTCTCTTGCCACTTTGAAAGGAACTCAAAGAGAACAGCTCTCGTGCTATATACTGCTAAGTGTTACCATATATATATCAAACTATTTCAGCTGCCTTCTCCCCCTACCCCCCACCCTCCCTCCCTGTTCTCCTTCCAAGTACAGAATTTTCCTCAAACTTGTCAGGAGAAACAGCAGTGTATGGAGAGGAGGCGGCTGTATGAAAGTCCATTAAACATGGTGGTGATCTCTTTTTTTTAATGATTCCCCCCACCCCCTTTAATGATCCAACCTCCTCTCTTGTTTGCCAGTAGCAATATGTCAACTTCTTTGTTTATTTGTTTTGTGCTAGTTAATACCGCATGTCACTCCCGATGCTCATGTAGGGATGGCTTTTGCCAGCTCCCAGCAAGCTAAATACCTTGTTTCGTTGTCAAGTGCCAGCGCCCTTTCTGTGCAGAACATTTTTATTAATCATTCCAATACCTTGGGAGAAAAAGCTTCATACAAGATTGTGTGTCACATGCTAACAGTGAGCGAGGTAAAATCCCGAATCCATGCACAAAGGCTGCAAGCAGCATGACCCCACATGCAATGCCAGGTGCTTATTGCTGGACAGAGATGGAGTGGAACGCTCTGCTTTTGGTCCCCACAGGGCATATGTTCCTACCACTACAGCTTCTGTCAGATGGCCTTGGCAACACATGGCTGGTACCCTGGTGTAATTCACAGTGAACCCTTAGGCAGCGGCGGAGCAAGCCGATCGGGCGCATGGGGCGACGTGCATGCCCTGCGCCCAGGGGTGGGACTGTTAGTTTCTGTTTCTCACTGTGCAGCTGCTGGGAGTCACAGGACTCTGTTTACATTCCAGAGACAGTCCAGACTCTTGGAAGTCTCACGGGAAAGGAGACGGGATGTGACGTTAGTGGTTTCCGGTTTCCTTTGTTCCTTTGTTTCAGTTGCTCTCTGCTTTCATAGAGAGAGGATGTCTTTTCTGTTCTGTGTAGTTTAGAAATAAAACTCTTTACAATGTAGCCAAACCTCTCGTCTCTTCCCTGTGCTGGGAACCCTGCTGGATAGAAGGTGCTTGAGGCCTTATCAAAGGCTCAGGTCATTAAACATGTCGGAGGCGATTTCAAAGGCTCAGCTCGGAGGAAGATGAGGCCTTATCGACTTGGCCGAGCGGAGTTCCGACAGGGGCCAGCAACCCATAGGGCCGGCCGAGCTGGGGCAGGATGCTCTGCAGGGCCTCTGAGGAGTCTGCCTGCCTCCTCACACTCACCCGCCCTATAGCTGAGGGGGAGGCAGTGGGCAGACCATTTGGGGCAGCGTGGAGCCTGTAGGCACCCAAGCCACCGCATCACTCCCAGGAGAAATACATGGCTCGGGTGCACTAGAGTCCACGCAGTGAGTGCCGCACACACCCCTCAGTGGTGACACCTGGGGCGGGACCGCCCCCAATGCACCCCCCCTTCCTCCGCCCCTGCCTTGAGGTGATTGTGCTACGTTTGTAACTCAGCTCTTGCAATGCCTTTGCAGCCATGATATATCGGTATATCATGATCTTTAGCTGGTAATATATCAGAATGTTGAAAACCAAATATCGCCCAGCCCTA